CAACAAACTTACAGGTTCCTGTTGTGTTCTCAGCTCTTAATCTCCAAGAATGTATTGCAACAAAGACTCCCTTTTTCTCTGTCAACTTGTTTTTTCCTCATCTTTGATAAAAGACGACCTGGGGGAGAGAGAGAGAGAGAGAGAGAGAGAGAGAGAGAGAGAGAGAGAGAGGTTTAAACAGAATGAGTTAAGAGAAAATAAGAGAGGAGGGGTAACAAGAGCGTTGGGCTACAGTTGAAGAAAACAAAAGAAACAACCGTCCAAAGGGAGTTCTCAAACTGAAAGTCCTGCAGCTTTTCATCACTGAGGTGGAAGCAAACAAATCTTTAGTAAGAGAAAGTTGTAGACTGGGTGGACTGGTTTTTGGGGCCCTCACTCGTGCAGAGATATCATGCTAACCTCGGGGCATGTCACATTCGTCCCTGACAGGCTCTTCAGCTAATTACAAGTTTTTTGTTTTTTTTTACAGACAGAGACGACTGTCCTTTTGCTTCTGTTTCCACAGAATGCTGATGTGCACGTCTCAATGGTTTAAAAGTCCTGCAGAAAACATCGACACAGCTGCAGAGGCATTAAAAAACATTAAGACATCGATCATCTCTGTCGAGCGTTTCGGGGGATGGAGGGGGGCGATTGCGTCAGGCTCAAGCTGGAGTCATAACTTCCTGTTACTGTCCTGCCCCAAAAAACAGACAAGACGTGTTCCTCAAAACTATTTATAAAAACAAGTTTCAATATTCTGCCTGGCTTAGCATGCAGCACTGAAAACAAGGGGAAACACCTTGACTGGCAAAGTCCAAAAGGAACTCAATTCCATCTACAGACATCGCTAGAGTTCACTGATTAATCCTGCAGAAAGCTTCACTCTGCTTCTTTATCAGGGATGATTTACTCGAAGCTATTTCTCAGTCAGGTACTTGATCAGGACTGCAGGACGTTTCCGTTTCATGTTCAATATTTGGTAGTGAAACCATGAGAAGAGGAAGAGGTTTGTGTGTTGCTAAAAAAAAACCTGTCGTAGTTTTTTTTGTTTGTGCACCATTCCTCATTTTCTCTCTCCTCTGTTTCTGAGTCTGTCCACTGCCCTGGCTCTAGATGAAGGCGTGGGGGGGGAAAGCAGAGAAATCCTTTATTTTAAAGTTAAAACTCGACGTGTCTTGTCAGGGCGACCACCTTGTTGTGGAAATGTCAAAGACGCTGCCGTCCTGTTGCTGTGATTAAAACATCATGTAAATTATACTCACACACACCAGCTCGTCACATATTCAAACATATTCTCCTCAGGTTGCTTTCACCTGGTCGTCATGACTACGGTTAACTCGGAGGTTGTTGACATCGGGCTTGGGGGGGGTTGGAGTATCAGAGAGAATCACTCCCATGATTCCCCGCCAGCCTCGACGTCACCTTTTGTTTTTGTTTTGATCGAGAGCCCCCTGCTGGTGGAATTTACGCACTGTGCCTTTAAGTGTCTTTTAGAAGCAGCGTACTTCAGCTCTTCTTTTCACCTTCAAACTTTTTTTGCAGGGAGATAAAATTAAAACTAGACAATCAAGCTGAGAAAGAAAACACTGCATAAGAAATCTATTGCTCTGGGTTTGGATATTTTTCTTCTTCTGATAACAAGTTGATGACACACCAACATGAAGAAGTAATTTTCTCAGTTTGTATGTTGGGTATTTCATCAGAACCGGTTCCAGCTGGCGTCTCAAAATGAGGATTTACGTCTCTGAGACAGGAAGGTTAAAAGGAGAACAGTTTGTCATTAAAGGACGTAAATCATTAACACGGCTGCTTCTGCGTCTCAGGGTTTGAATTCATGAAGGAGCGGTGAACTTTACTTTCCTCCTTTATGGGTTTGACTTGATATCCAGTGTCTTGGGTGATGTTGTACCTTGCAGCTCACCCTCCCTGCAGGAGGTAGTGTGTAAGCTTACTGCTTGTAACTACACTGCAAGCTAACACATGCTAGCACAAGCTAACAGCTGTTGTTTGTCCAACAGGAAGCAGACAAACTCCTCGTCTGCAGGTAAAAGCTTACACACATTTCACCCTTGATTTGGAGCGAGCTTTATCAGCTCTGCGTTTAGCCTCTGTTAGTACGTATTTTCATGGATTCATTCATCTTGATAATTTTGTGGACATATCTTTAAATTGTGTCAACCATCTCACAGTAATTCTACTTTTGGGTCTGTGAAGCGTTAACCTTATATGGGTGAAGCACCTAAGTATTAGCAGATCTATAAATGGATAGGAGCCAACTATATGTTGTCAGCAACTGTTTGACAGAGAGTCTACATCTGATACGTATACAAATCAGTGTCATGTCATCTTTATTGTTTTATAGTGATGTACCCAGATGGAAAGGAATTTGTGGGCTGTACCTTCTAGCAGAATATAAGCCACACTGTGTGATGAAGACTTGGCCATTTTGCCATTTTGCCATTTTTCCCATGATGGCCACTTTGCCAGTGATTGTCAACGATTGTGAGATGTTGGTCAG